TATATATATAATATATATATATTATATAATATAAATATAATTATAATATATATAAAAAATATATAGATATATATATATAGATATATAAATATAAATTTATAAATATATATAATATTATATATATATATAATATATTATATATATATATATATATATATATATATATTAATATAATATATAATATATATTATATATATAATATATATATATTATTATATATATATATCAGTAGGCCTCCCGGCATATCGATACCTCCGAATGTGACCACTTATGTAATGTAATTATATGTAAGTGCGTTTGAATGTGCATGTTTGGGGTCTGAAATGGACTACATTATCTACTGCACAATATTTCTGATGGGAACAAATTCAGTCAGTAAATGGCACCGAACATACGTCTATAAAAAATATCGTTAACCGGGGTCCACTGTAAATATATATACAGTGGAACCCCCCGCATAACCGTTTGCATCAATAATGTTAAATCCCATACCAAATACATTTATCGAAGATTTGTCCTCGCATACCGCTAAAAGACCCTCTCAGCGCTATTCGTCCGAGACGCGTCTAATGTGCGCCTAGCCAGCAACTCACATGTTCCCCATGGCATTGTTTACAACAAGCCCCCCCACCCAAGCCTCACGGTAACATCCAAGCATACAATCAATCGAACCTTTCGTATATTAACAGCGTTTTGGGTATTTTTATCTGCAAAATAATGACGCATAGGTCCCACAAGAAAACTTCTAGTGCCAACCCTTGATAAAAAGTGAGAAATATTAATCGAAATACTGTGGTACCATGGTCAACCTGCTGAGGCTAGCGCTTCTGCTTGCTGTGCACTGTCACTGCTGCTGAGCTGTAGCCCCATCAGCTTGTTGCCTGGGCAGCTCAGTAAGCACCGTCAGTTGCTTGCTGCTGCTGTATACCGTCTGCCTGCTGCTGTACACCGTCTGCTGCTGCTGTAGCACGCAGCAGCTGCTGCTGCTGTAGCACCATCAGCTGCTGCTCTGCTGTAAGCACCATCACTGCTGCTGCTGCGTACCACCGTCAGCTGCTGAGGCTGCGGTAGTACCGTCTGCTGCTGCTGTAGCACTGTCGCTGCTGGCTGGAGCACTTCAGCTGCTGTGTGCACGGGTCCAGCAGCTTCTGCAGCTGCTGTAGCACTGTCAGCTGCTGCTGCAGTAGCACACCATCAGCTGCTGCTCTGTACCACGCCAGATCGCTGCTGTAGTAACCGTCTGCTGCGCTGTACACCTTCTGCGCAGCTGTAAGCTCTGTCACTCTGCAGCTGCTGTACCCCCCCCCCAGTCAGCTGGCGCGCTGCTGCTGTATAACTCTGCTGCTGCTGTAGCACCGTCTGGCTGCGCTGTAGCACTGTCATCTGCGGCTGCTCTGTATCCACCGTCCAGCTCTGCTTCTGCTGCTGTAGTACCGTCTGCTTGCTTGGCTGGAGAACCTTCTGCTGCTGCTTTAGCACGTCAGCTGCTCTGCTGTAGCACGTCAGCTGCTGCTGCTGCTGCTGCTGTAGCACCATTGCTCTGGTGGGCTTTATTGAGAATACCAAGAAACAATTAACCCCAATTACCACTCAGATAACCCAAAAAAGTCATGCATCGAAAGTGTCTACTTATATTTCCATTGGGGTCCTGAATCTTGTTCTCCCAATGCAACTCACCACCAGTCGACTAACACCAGGTGAACAGGGAAAAATCCTGGAACTAGTGCTCGTATTTGTAATTTATAGCCGCAAGTTTGTTTGAAATTTAAATCGTAGTGGCAAACAGTGTATAAGGCCGGTTCTGGAAATATATGCCAAACAGTACCTACAGTACCAGGAGAAAAGGCAACCCCATGACACAGTGTTCATCAGTCCTCCCCATTTTTTTTTTTGGGCCCCTATGCCCCCCATCTTCAATAAAGTGTCATTTATTCTTCATTTAGTTAGATAGTACAGGCACAAATATATTGTGCATGTACCTACTCCTACTATGTGCAGGTATCACACTTTGTGTGTAGGAAAATGTATTTTCATTGTGTAAAAAATTTTTTTCATACTTTTGGTGCCCTTGCACGGATTAATTTGATTTCCATTATTCTTATGGAAAATTCATTCGCAAAACGAAATTTCCCATAACAATGAATTCTCAGGACGGAATTAATTTCGTATGCGGGTCCACTGGGGTGTTGTGTGTGATATGTAGTATGTAAGTATGAATGTATATATATATTATAGATATATTTATATATATATATATATATCATAGATAAGATATATATATATAATAATATATATAAAAGTTATTATTTATTTAATACCAACATTTATTCTAAAGACTCAATAATACAATACTAACAAAGATTAATAACCAGAGATTAAAAAAATAAAAACACTTAACAAGAAGGTTATGTTGTTGCCAGGTTTATGAACCAAGCTGGTAATGTTCCTCGGTTAAACAACAAAATTTAAACTCCAGTAAAACCTCTCAGGTTTAAACCTTTCCTTATTCAGAAGTAATCAAATTAGAAATAAAATCCAAATTTAACTCCTGCAAATACTAGAGTATGCCTTTCAAAATTTTGTAGCACCACGATGTAGTGTTTGAATGCACTCTCAATATCTGAATTCATTCACTTCTCATATCCCAATAATCTAATCTTTCATTACCTAAATTTTTTGTATTCTCATCACTTTACTCTTTCCTATGTTCACTTTTGATTCCTTCTTGTACTACCCTTCACTTAAATTCTTTACTACCTACCAAACCACTAACCTCTGCAACTTCTCTTCAGAATCCCCCAAAAGGACAGTGTCATCAGCAATGAGAAACTGTGACAACTCCCACTTTGTGTTTGACTCTCTATCTTTTAATCCCACACCTCTTGCCAACTCCCAAGCATTCACTTCCCTTACAACCCCATCTATAAACATACTGAACAACCATGGTGACATCACACACCCCTGTCTAAGGTGTACTTTCACTGGAAAATAATCTCCCTCTCTCCTACATACTCTAACCTGAACCTCACTATACTCATAAAAACTCTTCACTGCTTTTAGTAGCCTACCTCTTATTCCATACATCTCCAACATCTGCCACACTGCGTCCCTATCCACCCTATCATCTGCCTTTTCCAAATCCATAAATGCCACAAAACCTTCTTTACCTTTATCTAAATACTGTTCACCTATATGTTTCACTGTGAATACTCGGTCTACACACCCCCTACCCTTCCTAAAGCCTCCTTGTTCCTCTGTGAACCTGTTCTCCATCTTACTCTTTATTTTTTCAATAATAACTCTGCCATACACTTTACCAGGTATACTCAACAGGCTTATTCCCTATAATTCTTACACTCTCTTTTGTCCCCTTTGCCTTCATACAAAGGAACTATGCATGCTCTCTACCAATCCCTAGGTACCTTACCCTCCTCCATACATTTATTAAAAAAAAGCACTAACCACTCCAAAACTACATCCCTGCCTGTCTTTATCCCTTCAATCCCAGCTGCATTACCCTCTTTCATTGTACCCACTGCCTCACAAACTTCCCCCCCACTCACAACTGGCTCGTCCTCACTCCTACAAGATGTTATCCCTCACTGCCCAATACATGAAATCACAGCTTCCCTATCTTCATCAACATTTAACGGTTCCTCAAAATATTTCCTCCCTCTTCCCGATACCTCTAACTCTCCATCTAATAACTCCCTCTCCTATTTTTAACTCTCAAATCCATTCATTCCCTAGGCTCTCTCAACTTGTTAATCTCACTCTAAAACTTTTTCTTATTCTCAGCAAAATTTGTTCATAGTGTCTCACCCACTCTCTCATTTGCTCTCCTCTTACATTCCTTCACCACTCTTTTAACCACTCTCTCTCCATTTACTCCTCCCACCTTGTATTACTTCTACTTTGTAAAAACCACTATATGCTAACTTTTTCTCTCTTACTACTCTCTTTACTTCATCGCTCTTCTTTCCTCCCGCACCCATTTTCCTGTAACCATAAACTTCTGTTGAATACTCTAACACTACGTTTTAAATCTACCCTATGCCTCTTCAACCTCATTGCCTATATTCCCACAAGCCCATCTTTCTTCCAATAATTATTTATATCTTACCCTAACAGCCTCCTCCTGTAGTTTTTAACCCTTTGAGGGTCGACAGGCCCTCTCCGAGACTTGTTCTCAGGGTCGGCCAAATTTAAAAAAAAAAAAAAAAATTCTTATGAAAAATATAGAATCTTTTCCCGATCATAATGACACCAAAAGTATGAAATTTGATGGAAAACTTGCGGAATTATGCTCTCGCGAAGTTAGCGGTCTTGGCGATGTTTATGCATCGGCCATTTTGCCCACTTTGAGCCCCATTTTCGGCCAATTCCACTGTACTAGTTGACAAAAAACAAATATTTTGCTAGAACTCCATTTTTTTCTATCGAATGAGTGCAAGAAACCACCCATTTACCAATTTCAACTATCCAGTACAGTGATCAGAATTTAGCAATTTTGCAAATTTCACACAAATTTCAAAAGATGCCAATTTCCAAATAGGGTCCAGAATAAACAAGACAGACATTCCTGGCACTAAAATGACATTTCCTCTGTTCATTAGTCACGTCTCAAGGCCCCTCTTACATTCTTTTGCCTTCCACTTTGAATTTTTATTCTCACAAAAAACAGAAGATTTACTGTTATGCAGACTACTGCATTAGTGTAAAAAATGGTATAAATAATATTGGCGCACTTGCGAAAGAATATTAGACTCACCAGTTGACGTATATTGGATGCTTGGCATGATTTGTTTACTTTTGAACTTTGGTAAAAATTGAACATTTCTGCTATTTTGAGCTCAATTTCAAGGTACTTTTCATTGTAAAACCAGTCAAAATCATCTCAATTTCTGTAATATGTCTTCCATTCTATAAAATGAGACCAAGAAAACTAGAATACAACAATAAATGCCATATGAAAATACAGTGCAAAGTCACTGTTTTATTCCAAAAAAACAGTCAAAGTTTTTTTTTTTCTCATTATGCACTGTGTGCTGCAGGATTTTTTTTATACTGTGCACACTGACCACATAGACCCATTCTTTCATATGTAGGCCTACCAGCTTTCTCCCACTAGATTTGAGGGCGCTAGAATTTAGGCGTACTAGTACGTCAAAAACCCTGGGTCGTAAGCCATACTAGTACGGCCGAAACCCTCAAAGAGTTAAACCTTCACATCTCTCTTACTTGTTGACTCTATTCTTGCATCCCATCTACCTTTTACTCTCACTGCAGCTACAACTAAAATGTGATCTGATATATCTGTGGCCCCTCTGTAAACATGCACATCCTGAGGTCTACCCATCAGTCTTTAATCTGCTAATACATAATCCAACAAACTACTGTCATTACTCCCTATATCTTGTATACTTATTATTTATCCTTTTGTATTATTTATTGTCAAATCTCTTTCTATACAAAGCTCCCCATTATCATTTACACCTGGCACCCCAAACTTACCTACCACACCCTCTCTAACCTTTTCTCCTACTTTAGCATTTAGATCCCCTACCACAATTACTCTCTCAATTGGTTCTAAAGTTCCTACACACTCACTCAACATCTCCCAAAATCTCTCTCTCTCCTCTACACTCCTCTCTTCTCCAGGTGTATACACACTTATTATAACCCACTTTTGCATTTGACTCTTATTTTAATCCACATAATCCTTGAATTGATAGATTTATATTCCCTTTTCTCCTTCCATAACTGATCCTTCAACATTATTGCTAGCCCTTCCTTGGCCCTAACTCTCTCAGATACTCCTGACTTAATCCCATTTATTTTGCCCCACTGAAACTCCCCTACCCCCATACAGCTTTGTTTCGCTTAGAGCTAGGACATCCAACTTCTTTTCATTCATAACACTGGCAATCATCTTTTTATCATCTGCACTACATCCACACTCATTCAAACATCCCAGTTTTAAAAAGTTTTTCTTGTCATTTTTTTAGTAATTTATACAGAAGGGGTTACTAGCCCATTGCTCCTGGCATTTAAGTTGTCTCCTACAACATGCATGGCTTAGAGGAAAGATTCTTTTCCACTTCCCCATGGAGATGAAAGGAAATACAAAAGCAAGAACTATTTAAAAAATAGGCGAAAATTCAGATTGGTGTGTATACGTACATATGCATATAATATGTATATGTAGTGTACCTAAGTGTAAGTAGAAGTAGCAAAAGATGTAACTGTGTTCTTGTGTGTTTATGGGACAGAAAGAAAAAGACACCAGCATTCCTATGGGGGTCCTAATGTACACCTACCATCCGACTTACGACCGAGTTTGGTTCCGAGAAACCGGTCCTAAGTCGAACTTGACTACTGAATATCAACAAAACATTTTTGTAATGACATTATTTTATTGTTTTATTTTGGTATTTCATGTTTTACTTTACTTTTTATGCTGTCAGTACTGTATTTTATACTGTACAGTTTAGGATAAACACTATGTACAACACAAATAGTTGTTTATTTCCTAGAAATTTGGCATAAAAAACACGGTCGTAAGTCGAGTGGTCATAAGTCGAGCAGGTCGTAAGTCGGATGGTAGGTGTATATATATTTGGCCCACCTAACTGAATATCTGAAGCAACTTGTTGTGAAGATCAATTATATTTATTACTTCAGTGATGGGTCACCAGCACAGTATAAGAATTGCAGGAATTTCACAAAAAAGAATTAAAAAAATTTCACAAAAAAGATTTTTGTATAGCTGCAGAGTGGAGTTTTTTTGGCACTAGTCATGGCAAGTCACCGCATGATAGAACTGGTGGGGAAGTGAAAAGACAGGGAGGACATGCAAGTCTTTAACGTTCTTTAGAAAATCAAATCTTGACACCATGTGACTTATTTTTATACTGTGATGAAAACTTGTCTGGAATAAAGTCATTCTACATAAAAAAAAAAAAAAAGCTGAAGCAGCAGACCTGAACAAGAAGAAAGATTCAAATGTCGCCACAGTGTAGCTGGGACAATGGACAATCACCATTTTGTGCCTGTGGATCAAAATACAATTCATGTTAGTAAAGTGTCAAATGACACATCATTTGAAGCCAACATTGACCAAAATACCAAATTGAGCTCTCCTGATACAAAAGTTGCCAACCTTCAGCCAGGACATTACATTGCTTGCATCTTTGACAAAAAGTGGTGCATTGCAAACATTTGTGAAATTTCTGATGAGCAGCATGATGCACTGGTCAGCTTTATGCATCCTCATGGCCCAGCTCAGTCTTTCTATTGGCTAGCACAAAACAACACCTGCTGGGTTCCAGAATCTGATCATATTACTTCCAATATTCCACCACCATCAACAGCATCAAAGAGATGAGAATACTGCCTGTTGCCAGCAACCATGTCCAGCACTGATGAAAAATTTTCTGTTGCCATGAATTAAGCAACAACTCCAGATTGGGAATCAGAAAGAAACCCAAATTCAGGCTTAAGATCCTGTGGCAAAGAAACCTAGTTTGAGGCTTGGGAACTTGTGGAAAAATGGCCCACCACCCATGGCTGTTATTGCATACCTATCAGGCATGGCACCTAGGCAATGGGGTTACCAATTTTTTAAGAATTGGTAGGGGCATAGCCACAATGGACCAATGCAATATTAATGTTTTGTCAAAAATCAGCAACATCAAAATCTGTCTTCACTGTTGTCATGACTTTTTTGACAACTTTAAGCTTAATTTGCAAAAATAAATATTGGTCCCTAAAAATACAGATAATTTCTGAAATCACCACCAAAAACTGTATAATGACATCTAAACATGAGGGTCTAGCTGTTGTTGCTCTTTAACAACAGCAATTGAAAAATGCCTGGCTTTCATTATAACGTTGCACAAGCCAAAAATCACCTTATTTTAAGGCCTGTTTTCTCCCTTCAAGGGCAAAACACCTGTCCAGAAAACAAATATCTTGTAGTTTAGAATCTGCTCTTTCTAATGAAGGTTTTTTAAGAAAACTGGTTGTGCTGCATTTTGTTACTGGTCTTCAAAAATGGCCTAAAATTCACCATGAGGTCTGTGAGGGCATTTTTAGGTACCATGAGCACATGAATTAGAAATATTTGGAGTCTGATATTTTATTTATGTGACAATGTCCACTTGGGCAACTGGCTACAATAATGTCATACTAAAATAATGTTTTATCTTTAGAGATATAGGCAGCTGAATTCAAGACTCAATTGTATGTGACAGATTTTTTTGCCTACTTCAGCTTCATACTGTGAAAAAAGTAAAAGCATGTCTGTGATTTTTTAAATCAGCTCCAAAAGCTGTATAGGCATATCTACTTACACAACTTTTGCTCTTCTAGATCTGCCACGGCAATAACCTGAACACTGCTGACTGTGTGCTGTGGGTCGGTGAAATTTTCACCTGCCTCCACTCTGAGGGCCACAGCATTACTACTACTGCATATCAAGAACTAAAACATTCCCAAAGTTAGTATGACATAGATGCCAACCTTCATGTAAAATTTTATCAAAACTGGAGATGGTCAGGTGGAGACCCGTGGTTCATTCAACATGGAATGGCCCAAATACATAAGGCAATACAGTACTTTATTAATCTGAACCTAGCAGAATAGCTAAAAAACAACTAGTTGTTTTGGCAAATATGGATGTGCTTAGACTGTAACTCTATTTTCTCACATGTTTCTTCACTTAAAGCAATTTTTCATGAGGAGCTAATTTTAGAAGCTTCCATGTCATGAGAGAATTCAGTCTGCTGGTATCCATGGATAGTGTGCTCCCCACTTCACCAGGAGGAACTTCTTCTATACATATCTACATTGTTATACCTTTAAAACTTCATCTGTGAGTCCCCTCATTCTGGTCCCCACCCAATTTCTGTCCACCCCCCCTTATTCTGCTCCCCACCCCATCTGTGTTCTCCTCACTCTGGTCCCTGTCCCATCTGTCCCCCTCATTCTGGTCCCCACCCCATCTGTCCCCCTCATTTTGGTCCCCACCCCATCTATCTCCTTCATTCTGGTCCCCACCCCATCTGTTCCCCTCATTCTGGTCCCTACCCCATCTGTCCCCCTCATTTTAGTCCCTACCTCATCTCTGTTCTCCTCATTCTGATCCATACCTCATTTCTGTTCTCATTCTGATCCCCACCTCATCTGCGTCCCCTTCATTCCGTTTCCTCCTTGGTTCTGGCTTCAACTGGGGTCTTTCAAAGCCTGTGTTTGTATATACTTCATTGGCATTTTTTGCAAACATGTATACATATTACTTACATGAATGTTTGTACATCTCTGAAGATGCATAAACTCACTCGTGTCTTTATTTACTCTTATGTATTTGAGTGGAACTTTAGCTTTCTCAATGCCTACTGGATCTCTGCTTACTGTGATATTAGGGTGGATAACACAGATTCATTTATTTATTTTTAATTTTTTGAAAACAAAACAATTATCTATGGACACTTAGCAACCAGTAACAAGACCGAAGACAGTAAAAACAAAGAAATGATCCAGAGTCACTGGTTGCCCCACATTGGTAATGCCCAGGCAAACACAATGATCCAGAGCCACTGGTTGCCCCAAACTGGTCATGCCCAGGCAAACACAATGATCCAGAGCCACTGGTTGCCTCACACTGGTCATGCCCAGGCAAACACAATGATCCAGAGTCACTCGTTGCCTCACATTGGTCATACCCAAGGAAACACAATGATCCAGACTCACTGGTTGCCCCGCACTGGTCATGCCCAGGCAAACACAATGAACCAGAGTCACTGGTTGCCTCACACTGGTCATGCTCAGACAAACACAATGATCCAGAGTCACTGGTTGCCTCACACTGGTCATGCCCAGACAAACACAATGATCCAGAGTCACTGGTTGCCTCACACTGGTCATGCCCAGACAAACACAATGATCCAGAGTCACTGGTTGCCCCACACTGGTCATGCCCAGACAAACACAATGATCCAGAGTCACTGGTTGCCCCACACTAGTCATGCCCAGACAAACACAATGATCCAGTCACTGGCTGCCTCACACTGGTCATGCCCAGGCAAACACAATGATCCAGAGTCACTGGTTGCCCAACACTGGTCATGCCCATGGAAACACAATGATCCAGAGTCACTGGTTGCCTCACACTGGTCATGCACAGGCAAACACAATGATCCAGAGTCACTGGTTGCCCAACACTGGTCATGCCCAGGCAAACACAATGATCCAGAGTCACTGGTTGCGCAACACTGGTCATGCCCATGGGAACACAATGATCCAGAATCACTGGTTGCCTCACACTGGTCATGCCCAGGCAAACACAATGATCCAGAGTCACTGGTTGCCCAACACTGGTCATGCCCATGGGAACACAATGATCCAGAGTCACTGGTTGCCTCACACTGGTCATGCCCAGGCAAACACAATGATCCAGAGCCACCAGTCGCCCCATGCTGGTCATGCCCAGGCAAACAATAATCCAGAGTCACTGGTTGCCCCAAACTGATTATGCCCAGGAAAACACAATGATCCAGAGCCACCAGTCGCCCCACACTGGTCATGCCCAGGCAAACACAACACAACAATAAGCAAACTTAGTGGAAAATGAGTTAACAATAAATTAATAGTAAATTGATTCATAAATAAAGTATGACCACTGACAACTTGTATGAAATGAAAGCATTTTTTGCAGGAAAAATTATATATAAAGCTTACAGAAAGAAAACAGCAGTTTAAGAATAGTAATCTACTATTTAAGAGACTAATAATACAGTATACTACCCACTAATACAATAAAAGAAAAACAGATTATCTATGAAAGAGATGTCATTACAATACTTTCTTGCACATCCACACACACAGGCCACTTACTCTGCACCTTCAAATAATTAAAATATCTATGACTACATAATTTCCACCTAATCAACTTGTCACATTCAAATGTACAAAGAGTGAAGAAAAATTAGATTATATGTAAGTAGCATCATTAAGCAATTACCGCAACTTTGTAAAATATCAGTAATTTACATAGATGAGCCTAGTTTGAAAGAATATCATTTTTTTTAATTCCTTTACAAAACTATTAAAAAATTATTCATAACAAGATTATAGAATATTAGTCTGTTGTATGTAAGATATTTTTATATACAGTGGAACCTTGGTTTTCGTATGCCCTAGGATGTATGTAAAACTAGTTATTCTCTATAAAATGTATTTTTTGTTAATATTTTTGGATGTCTGGAATGGAGTAATTGGATTTACATTATTTCTTATGGGAAATATTAACAAAAAATACATTTTATAGAGAATAACTATAGTTTTTAGGGGTCGTCCTCGAAAGGGTTGGAGAGAGGGGGTAAAGGAGGTTTTGTGGGCGAGGGGCTTGGACTTCCAGCAAGCGTGCGTGAGCGTATTAGATAGGAGTGAATGGAGACAAATGGTACTTGGGACCTGACAACTGTTGGAGTGTGAGCAGGGTAATATTTAGTGAAGGGATTCAGGGAAACCGGTTATTTTCATATAGTTGGACTTGAGTCCTGGAAATGGGAAGTACAATGCCTGCACTTTAAAGGAGGGGTTTGGGATATTTTCAGTTTGGAGGGATATGTTGTGTATCTTTATACGTATATGCTTCTAAACTGTTGTATTCTGAGCACCTCTGCAAAACAGTGATAATGTGTGAGTGTGGTGAAAGTGTTGAATGATGATGAAAGTATTTTCTTTCTGGGGATTTTCTTTCTTTTTTTGGGTCACCCTGCCTCGGTGGGAGACGGCCGACTTGTTGAAAACAAAACAAAAAAAAAAAAAAAACTATAGTTTTACATACAACCTAGGGCATACGAAAACCAAGGTTCCACTGTACAGTGTATATATGTATGTATGTGTATGTATGTGTGTGTGTGCGCACATACACGTGCATGTGTGTGCGCGCGCATGTGTGCATGTGTATGTGTGTGTGTGCACGTGTGTGTGCGCGCGTGCATGTGCGCACGTGTGCATGCGTGTGGGTGTGCATGCGTGTGGGTGT